CTGAAGCGCAGCCGGCCGCCGCCGCCGCCGCTTCGGCCCCCGATGAACCCCTCTTCGCTTTGCCCGGAAACGGCAGACTGGACATCAAAAGGCACGCGGTGACGGACGACTACAAAATCTCCAGCCAGGTTCTGGGCTTGGGAATCAATGGCAAAGTTTTGGAGTGCTTCAGCAAGAAGAATGGGCAGAAGTGCGCTCTCAAGGTAACGCTCACCCGCACGCCGCCGTGTCCGCCGATTCGGATGACTTTGCGGCCCATGTGCGACCACATTTCACGGCTGATTTCGATGGAGAACACTTTCGGTTGTGCTTGACAACATACCCTGTGGCGACCGCACATTCTGGAGTGGGGAAAACTCACCTATTTGCCGGTGGTGTGCTCAGGCCCAAGCAAGAAAAGTACGACTTTGGCGCCCTAGGTTACTGTAGCGTTTTGGCAAGGATCCAGGTTGAGTTGAGTTGAGGAGTTTCATTTGGACAAAAACACTCGGGCTGCCACAAGGTCAAATTTGGCCAATAAAGATGATTCCGATTCTGATTGCTCATTTGGCTTCAGGTCATCATCACATCGACTGGCTGCGTGCTTTTTAGCGCGAGCGTGTTGCTAAGGATGCGATGATGCACATGGTAGCGTATTAGCACACACGCAATGAAAGAAAGGGAATCCCACACTCTCAACTTCTACTTTCAATGGCCGCCGCGGCCTGAGACTTCCTCTTGCGCACACTCTCAGTGAGTGAGCAGTTAGTGAACTTTTCGGTGTGACTAGTGAGTTCCTCGGAAATGAAACGTTTCAACTTTTTGAGTCGACAAACAAGAAGGCTGCTCGGCTTGCTAATCGCTCTTTGTATGCGTGCGCCGTGGGTGTCGTCTCTCTCACATGTCCATGAGTCACTCTTTCCCAGCCGGTGACCAGAGCCAGCCTTCTTTTGAACCTTGCAGCACTCTGTGGCTGTCATATCCCAAAATACACACTGACCAGACATGGATGCCGTGTCAGCATCCACCTGCTGCCTTCATATGGGTCTCTGTGTAACACACACACACACACACACACACACACACACACAATGTAAAATGTTGACAATGCAGTGATTTCCAATCATGAAAATCGGACATTTAAATCGAAGGATGCACTGGTGATTTCCTCTTCTCAAACAATTCATTGAAACCACTATGGCGGGGAAGTCGCCAGGCATTTTGAGTTGTCGTTTCCCTTGCGTGTCTTCCAGATCCTCTACGACAACCCCAAAGCGAGACGGGAGGTGGAGCTTCATTGGAGGGTGTCTGGCGGGCCGCATATCGTCCGAATCCTCAGCCTGTATGAGAACATGCATCGTGGCAAGAAGTGCCTGCTCATCATCATGGAGTGGTACCGTCTCGCTTGTTGTCTTGCCATCTGTCCGTTCGACTCCAAATGGCTGAAACCCCATCGCAAATTTCATTTAAGTATCCCTTCAATACACAGTGGGAAACCCAACATGTTCAATAGCTTTCCAAACTTGAACCTAATGATACCGATGTCAAATCCTTTCAGTTGGAACAACATTTACGATCTGTCGGAAATCCCCCTTTGCTTGGTTTGCCGTCAATGTCCCAGACTGGACAGGCGCAGGCGCAAAAGGCAGCGAGCTTAGCCCGCTGCGAATTGCTTCCTGTGACGGTGGAGGTCAGCAGAGGGTGACATTGAGCGGTGTCACTCGAGCACGCAAAAGCGCATTTATTCCTCTCTGGGTGCGGTCCACATCCTCTGAGGCAAGCTCATCACGTCCCCGTTCCGTTGTCGCGACTCTTCCTAATTTGATGGCCAAACGTTGCGGTTTGGGAGTGGGAGCCCACCTTGGAAAAATATGCCCGCAATGGCTTGGTTTAACACATCCAAAATTCAAGTGCGCGCGTGTCCCTTTCTGTGCACGTGCAGTATGGAGGGCGGAGAGCTGTTCAGCCGCATCCAGGCCCGAGGAGACCAGGCTTTCACAGAGAAAGGTGAGAACTGAATCAGCCCCCCCCCCCAAGAGTCATTGCAGAATGCCACACGCTCTCTCCTCCGACATCCACCTTCATCATCCACTTTGAAAAATCCCCGGAGCCACAGCTCGAGTGCCTCGCTAGCGCGCGTCCAAGTTCAGGAGCTTGGCGTTCTGATCTCGGTCGGCTCTCCGGGCTTCACACACACGGCCCTTGCGCGTTCTTTCCGTGCCGCGTGCACAGTCGTACGCGCAAATCCAGGCCCGAGGAGACCAGGCTTTCACAGAGAAAGGTGAGAACTGAATCAGCCCCCCCCCCAAGAGTCATTGCAGAATGCCACACGCTCTCTCCTCCGACATCCACCTTCATCATCCACTTTGAAAAATCCCCGGAGCCACAGCTCGAGTGCCTCGCTAGCGCGCGTCCAAGTTCAGGAGCTTGGCGTTCTGATCTCGGTCGGCTCTCCGGGCTTCACACACACGGCCCTTGCGCGTTCTTTCCGTGCCGCGTGCACAGTCGTACGCGCAATCATCCGGAAGCTGGGCCTCAAATGTGCGCCGCCGCGAGCCGTCAAACGGGAGCTACTCAGAGGGAAGCGGCCACCGAGCTTGGTGTGGCCGAGTTTCACCAGCATCTATTATTTGCACGTGGCTGCGTCGAGCCATCCGACGAGCGGCCCTCAAAGCGACGTGCGCTCCTCTGCGGCGCAGTGATTAGAAGGCCAGGAGCGGGTTTGCCACTTGTCCTCCGCCGTGGCCGTTGTTGGGATTGAGTTTTTGCTTTGGGAACGCTGTGTTTGAGCAGAGGCATCTGAGATTATGAGAGACATCGGCGCGGCCATCGAATTCCTGCACGGCATCAACATTGCGCACCGAGATATCAAGGTGAGCGCGACAATTCCACAATGGGCTCGGGCTTTGGCAACGCCGCGATGAGCTCGGCTGATGCCGCGTCTCCCCGGACAGCCCGAGAATCTACTGTACACCTCCAAGCACAGGAACGGAGTCCTCAAGCTCACGGACTTTGGGTTTGCCAAGGAGACCACCCAACACAACCCTCTCCAGACCCCCTGCTACACACCCTACTATGTGGGTGAGTTGCTCATCATTTCACTCCCTGCGCTATCCTCGATGAAACGGGCGACTCGGGGAAAGACTTAACAGCACGCGCACACCAAATCCGTTGCGAGCCGTCCGCCCTCCCTTGGCGGGCACCGGAGGAGAAGGGACACAACGGCAGCAGCCATTTTGCAAAGAGCCACGTGGTTGATACTGTCGTTCCGGCGAGTGCCAGACTTGCTGTACTTCAACGCTTGTCAAAAATTCAAAATTCTGCTTGTGTTTCTGTGGCTGCTCATAAGCACCGGAGGTTCTGGGTCCGGAGAAATACGACAAGTCGTGCGACATGTGGTCTCTGGGCGTGATCATGTACATCCTGTGAGTAGCTCGCAATTGCCACCGGCTGAAGTCACCGCGAAGCAAAAACCGAGGCATCGTCGGCCGTCTCGTCCTTCCCCAGGCTGTGCGGCTTCCCTCCCTTTTACTCCAACACGGGACAAGCCATTTCACCTGGAATGAAGAAGCGAATCAGGATGGGCCAGTATGAATTTCCCAACCCGGAGTGGGCCGACGTGTCACATGAAGGTGAGTTCGCTCACCCTTCGGAAATCTTGCGGTGAGCCGGACCCTTTGGCTTGTTGGAATCCTTCATCTCGACCAGGCGCGTCCAAACGACCGGCCGGCCCTGGGGCCCCGTTATTAGGGGCTGGGGCCGCAATTCCAAAAGTGCCCGCCACATTGGGGAAAGTTTGGGGATGCCGCTATTCTTTTCCGAGCACGAGCGCGCTGCCTGAAAAGGCAAAGCAAGATCCGTCTCGCGATCAACCGCCAGCCCGCAAACTGCTATGACTCAGTCGTGAGGGGAAAATAACCCCCCACCCAAAACATGGGTGTGTCTGTGCGCGTGTTATTAACTCATTCAGTACCAGCCAATTCTAGACCCCTTTTTTTCTTTACCCTGTCTTGGAAAATTTGAAAAAAAAAGTATTTGGGGTTGAACGTGTGGCGTGTGAAAAGACATAATTCTGTCTTTGGGAGTGAATGAGTTAACAGCATCCATTTTTTCGTTTCACAAAAAGTATGAAAAGAATCTGGGGATGGAAGAGTCCTCGCTCAGTCTGCCACCCGCTTCAATGCGAGAAACGAGATCCGCCGCCTCAATGTGCCACCCTCGGAAGGGCTCACTCGCAGACACGTTTTCAGACGCCGACGGCTAAGAGAGATTCACCTCGTTGAATCTCACACCGCTCGTTTGTCCACAAAAGCCAAAGTTTCCGGATAACCTCCCCGAAATGTTGCTCGCGTCTGTCGGCCAGCGGGCCCTCGGGGGGGTCACTGAAATGTCGCTGTGACTCTCGCAGGCAAAAGTTTGATTCACCAGCTGCTGAAGACGGACCCCAACGAGAGGATGACCATCAGTCAGTTTATGAAACACCCCTGGATCAGCGTAAGTGTTTGACCCCCGCGCACGCACCGTCACATTTCTTGTCGATGCCGCGCTCATCGTGCGCGCGTTTGTGCCGCTCAGCAAGCCGCGGCGGTGCCCTCCACTCCGCTCCACACCACCCGAGTGCTGACCGAGGACCGAGAGATGTGGGAAGACGTCAAGGTCGGAGAGACGCTGCAACGCTGACCCCCTCTGGTCGTTTTCTGCCATTACACAGAAACCGAAAGCCTCGCTCGCATGTGGCGTCACAAAGACTTTCGGATCCGCCTGGAGTGACGAAAGCACCGCGGTTGCGATCTAAGGAAGGAAGAATCGCATTTCAAAGGAAAATCTAGCCAAACATGAGCCAGAAACACAATTGCGCTATTTCACCGAGGGTCCTCTAGTCGTTTAGGGGGACTATTAAAAAAAAAAAAAAAAAAAACAACGGTTTCAAAACAGGAACAGGAACATGCGATCCACCTCGACCTGTGCTCTGCACACAAAAAGCTCTGTTGCCACGAAGCACATGTCCGAAAACAGCAGCATTTGGATTGGAGTGAAAGGGGAAACGAGTCATAAAGTCCCCAGGCCTCAGAGCTAGGCTAAGTGTTAGCATCGTGGCTTCCACGCTCTTCTCCTTGACATTTTGACTGTGGCGAGCGCTGTGAGCCGGGTCAACACGGACAGTCGCTTCTCTCTTTGTGTCCGGCGAGAGCGCGAGTTTCGGGTCGCTTCGAAATCGGCTTTCATGTCACAATCGCACCCACCGTGCCGTCGCGGCGTTTTCCCAGCTGTGGCGAAATCCGCGGCGCCTCGTGCGGGGCTTATTGTCACGCGATTGAGAGAGAGAGTCGGGCTCCAAGCGCTCACCCCAGCAGCCGCCCGTTTTACGTCATCTGCAAAGTGACCTGCGAGTGGATATCGTCATCATCTTGTCTACTTATGGTTAAGTTAGGTTTAAGGCTACTTTTATTCCAGACAATCAATGGTCTTTTTTTGGGGGGGGGGGGTTGGAGAGCAAAACTCTTAACTGGTGCACAGTTTCGGTGAGGCTCCGATGAAGGCTGAAGCAACAGCTGTAACTGTCAGCCAGGTAAGAGTTTTGCTCCCCCCCCCCCAAAAAAAAAAGGTCATTGTCTGGGAAAAAAAGAAATGTTAAAGCTTAGATCTTCTTGCCAATCCTTATGAATGTACTTTGAGGGCCTCGACCCCCTGGCTGGACTCCATTTAGACTTCCGTCTTCTCGATCGCGTGTGTCTCTCCCGCACTGAATTTAAAGGGAATGAGAGGAGAAAGCGAGTCGGCTGTGTTCACACCCGCAGCAGCGCAAACGCCCGTTTGTAAACGCACGCGACTAGGAAAACACCCGAAGAAAGAAAACTCCGGCACCCCGTGATTTCTGAAAGAAAAACACTTTTTTTTTTCTGTTTCCTCCTTTTGTTGAGGCAAACGCACGAAGAGTAAACAAAGTCTGCGTCTGATGTGTCACAGGAGGAGATGACCAGCGCTTTGGCAACCATGCGTGTCGACTATGACCAGGTGAAAATCAAGGACCTGGACACCTCCAGCAACCCGCTCCTCATCAAGAGACGCAAGAAAGCCGCCGCAGGGGCCAAGGGCGGCGCCGCAGTCTGCCAAAGTCAGTGAGGCGGGCGGCTCGCCCTCAGCCTCACCTTCAAGGACGGCCCTTTTTGAATCGAGAGATTGGCAAAAAGAGACCAAGAGATTAGCAACACGGCGGGACGTATTGAGGTCTGCCTTTTGCTGCCGACATGTTCGGAAAAGGATTTGAAGACACTTTGAGGCTTAACGACTGTACGTTTGGGATTTGGGGTGCCATTTTCGACCGTGCGCCAATCAGCGAGCATCGTTCACTGACAAAGGAACCTCCAACGTTGAACAATTTGGGGCTTTATTTGACAGAACGTCACCTGTGATGTCACTTTTGATTTTAATTTTTTTTTTTAAAGCGTGATGCTATCACAATATGGTACCGGTGATTGCAAGGAGGAAAAGTGTCAGTTGACCCCAGAAGTGCCATCCGTTATTTTTCCCACCGCTCGTCCTTGTTCGGGTAGCCGCAGCCCATCCGAGCTGAGTTTGGGCAAGGGGCGGGGTCATGGCCTGTACCGGTTATAGCAGCCTTGAGGAAGGCCGCAGTTTGATTGCGGAATCAAAGGAATTCGCCGCAGGCGACAAATTGCCTGCGGCCGCAGCAACATCGCATGACAGATTGGGTTGGACCTTGGAGCTTCCACCCTTTAACAAACCAAGTGTGCAACTCCAGCACACTTGTGCAATGTTGTTTGCCTTCAGATGCCTTTGTCACCGACTTCAGAGCAAAGTCTGACTCGTGTGCCCCTTTCCTGAACTCGGACTATTTGTCACCAAGACAATAAAGTGACCCACTGATCTTGATGTGAGCTCAGGGAGGCGTGTGTGTGTGTGTGTGTGTGTGTGTGTGTGTGTGTGTGTGTGTGTGTGTGTGTGTGTGTGTGTGTTGCCTGGCCGTGTGACGCCAGCGCACTTTGCAAAACTCAGCTGTGGTTTCCTTTGCCACATGGTTGAGTTGTGACATTTGGTTGCGAAAGGCTTTGTGTGTGTGTGTGTGTGTGTGTGTGTGTGTGTGTGTGAGTGTGTGTGTGTGTGTGTGTGTGTGTGTGTCGCAACTGGCTACAGGTCTTCAGGTCAGAAGAGGGCCAGGTCCCATATCAAGATGGGAACAAGAGCGTGCAGCTTGCCTGTGAAGGCGCTGCATAGCCGAATCCATTTGAAGGTGCTTTTGGGCCTCGACTGTTTGATTGTGGAAAAAAATGTAACACATTTATGGAGGATTGGCAGCCGCTTGTCCTCACAAAGGTCGCGGGCGTGCTGGAGCCTCTCCCAGCTGTCTTCAAGCCCGCAAGGCGGGCGACCCCTTCAACTGGTTGCCAGCCCATCGCAGGGCACACACAGACGAACAACCATTCGCACTCACCATCGCACTTTGGGACAATTTCGACCCGCTGTGCATGTTTTGGGAATGTGGGAGGAAAGCGTGCAAACTCCGTGTGGCAGACGCGCTCACCAGTCGACCGCCACATTCCCCAACGGGAGTCGGTGGTGTTGCAAGTCGTCTCTTTTTTCCGGCCTCTCGCCCCGCAATGACGATGGCTTCATCGATGGGTGAATAGCCTAAAAGTGGTATGGAAGTGGAGTCGCGCTTTGCCGAGTATGCGCTGTCGCGTGTGGTTGTCCAGTCCAAATCCAAGTTACGAAGCAGCCGCCAAATAAAACCGTTGTGGACAACGGTGCGAGGCGTCGTTCTTGACCGGAGTTGCTTTTTGGGGGGAGTTGTTCAAGAAAAGCTCAAAGCAATCATGTTGACGTTGTCCTCGAGGGAGCCTTTCCCCCATTTTCATCACATGGCCCCCTGCGGTATGTAGGGGAAGGGTTGTAAATACAGGATGTGGGCCACGATTGGGTGCGGTGACCTCTCAGCTGTTGTTGGGAGTCTCTGTCGTGGAGGCAACCGGGCCGAGACCGACAGTCACCCGAGCGCGCGGGCCCGCCCGCTCCAATTGCGCCTGGAATTTGACAGCATGTTGCAAATGACTTCTGTGTGTTACTCAGACATATTGCGAGGCCAAGTGCGGCCAGCCATGACAACATTCATGCGCAACAGGAACAGGAAGAGCACATCCTTCACGCTTGTCATGTTCCACTGAAATTTGCTGCCACGGTGTCGTCGGCACAATGCGGTTCAGAGGTTAGGATGCCCGATTTTGGGTTCGACACCTGCCCCCTTCAGCAGATGTGCCTTTGGCTCACCCCTGAGCCTAATGTGGCCATGGCTATCGAAAAGGGACGGATGATGGCGTCGCCCACCCGCTTTAATTAACCCTGTAACAGTGAGAAAGGTCACAAAGTCAAATGGTCTCATCGTGTGTCCAAGCCAAGTTGGAAGCTGTGTGAAATGGTTTAGAGAAGCTTGAGCGACTTTTGACTTTGGATGTTACTCGAGGCCATTCCTTCACTGCTTTTCTTGTGGCGCATGCACAAAGAGCAAGAATGTCCGGAGAACGTGAAGGGGGGGGGGGCGTACCTTGTTTTAGACTGCGATAAGGCGCAGCGAGACTGGTCCAACTGGTATGTTCTGACGTGTTTAAGGGATGAGGGATGGGTGTGACGCCCACTGTAAACGGGACGATTGCGCCGTTGTCGGCGTGAACACAGCCGACTTGCTTTGCAGCTCCTCCTCTTCCCCCGCCAGGTTGTGCTGGACTTTTTTTTTCTTTGTCTTTTTTCATGTCCTCAGTGTCATCAGAGGCAAGTGCACACACACATATACCTCGCAGTTCATGCGGGGTCTGCTCACAGCCTTCTGTGCATAAAAAAAAAAAAAACTCTGCCCAAACCTTGAGATATTCTTTCTTGATATGTCTTCCTACGCCGTGTCACAGCTATTGATTGTACAGTTCGGCAAAACAGATTTTTTTTTTTTTTTTTAGTAGCTTGAGAAGTCGTTATCTCAGGGCACTTCCTTGGACCTTGTGTGTGTGTGTGTGTGTGTGTGTGTGTGTGTGTGTGTGTGTGTGTGTGTGTGTGTGTGTGTGTGTGTTTGCGCGGGTTGTGGGAGGGTGTAAAGGGGGGCAGGTACCGCTACCTGATTCCGTCCACTTTTGCGGGAAGCCTCGCTTGGGGCTTCACCCACTCGTTTGTGCGCGGGCGTGTGCGTGCGCGCGCGGGTTGGCAGGACGAAGCATCAGCGCGGCGCTCGTCTCTTGGCTTCATCCGTAGGCAGACGGTCCACGATGAGGGGCTGCTCCGGTCGATCCAAGCCGGCACAGAACCAGGGCAGAGCGGGTAAGAGGGCTTCCGCTTCTCGACCTTGTCGCGGGCCGTCGTGACGCCGCAGGACTCGAGACTTAGCGCGGCAAAAGAGGAGACGTCGCCGCGAGCGGACGCGCCGCGCGTGTGTCTCTGAGCAGGCGCTGTCGGCGAGACCTTTCCCCCACATTACGACAACAACAACAACGACGAGCTCCCGACGCTGCCTTTCGCATCGCGTCGCCTTGCGTTGCGCCCCGCTTCGCGAAACGCCTTCCACCGGAACGCGTCCAGTTGACAACACGTCGACTTGCAGTTGAAACGAAACCGTCTCGTCGCCCGAGCGCTCATTTTTTTCCGCTCTGCCCATGCGGAGCTTCTCGCGCATTTCGGCGGCTCGTTGAACGCGAGAGCCTGTAGCGTGCACACGTAGCCTTCTGGAAATTAGCGGTACCAGGCGGCGTTTTGCAGGATCAGGAAGGAAGGACTGGCCGGACTGGCCCGCTCATTCCGTCGGTCCAGCTTGAGTTCAAGCTGTTAGCTGCTCGAAGGAGGGGGAGCCCGCTTTTCGAGGTGACTGCCCTAAATGTGTACCTACACCCCGCTGATTCAAAAAGAACCCGATTCTGCGAAACAAACAAAAAAGGATCGATACACTACCTGGGCCAATAAGACCCAACTTTTGTGTTGTTTTGGATCCAGAAAATGCATTGTTTGTACACACACACACACACACACACACACACACACACACACACACACACACACATAGTTGGTCAAATATGGGACCGACTCGCTACTTGGGTCCCTTTGACCCAACTTTGAGGGTTGTTTGGTACAACAAGCCCATTTTTTGGGTCCAACTTTCTTTCCAAGGTCGGTTCATCATCGTACCACCAAAATGGGGTTGTTTTATTATTCAGACGTCAGTTCCCTTCTTTATCGTCTTGGACGGCCACCGCGAGCAAGAAATTGGAATGAATGGTAACTTGGAGCTATTTTTAATGTGACCCCCACACGCACAATAAAACGTTGCAGTCGACCTAGGTCTGCTTCACATTGTGATATAAACTGCACTGTGTATACAAAAACGATCAGCTGTGTGCTGACACATGTTTGAGTCCACTGACAGGTTAAGGGGATGAAGGAGCTCTTGAATTGAAGCGAGGTCCACGCGTTCATGTCATATGCAGGTCACATGGCCCGTTGCTCCTCTGTCCTAAATGGAATCGAGCCAGCAATTCAAGCCTCTGAACAAACTGCGCTGTTCCAATCGAAAGAGGCGAGATGAAAATCCTTTGTTGTCACTGTCAACATGTCAGACCACTCAGTATTTGTAGCCCAAAAGACAGAGTAAACTGCGCGCGCGCGTGTGTGCGTGTAACTCGTTTGGGTGGCTTGTGTTCTTGCATCGTGTTCTCATATGCCATCAGAATAGGGATGCACTTTGGGCGCACTTATTTCTGGCTTGATTCGCGGACAACGTCAGTCACCTCCCAAGTTGGCGTCAACATGCCAGGTGGAAGGAAAAGCGCAATGCTGCCACCTAACGGTTACCGATGACCGTCGGCTCCGTCACACCGAATCTGGCAAGAACCAGGGATGAGACGCGAGGGTCCGCAGTATCATTCTCGGGATTTTGTCAACTCACGAATACCCGCTACTTACTCCCCTGCCGTGGTTAGTGTAAAAAAAAAGAAATAGTCAATGAAATATTTTTATGCAGGGACCAGATACATACACAGATGGATGGATAGATAAATAAATAAGGGCGGTGATTACATCGCGACATTCAAGCAGGATAAATGAAAAAGAAACATCCTTCCATCCATTTTCTAATCCATTTATCCTCAGGGGGGTCACGGGCGTGCCGAAGCCCATCCCAGCTGTCTTCAGACAGACACCCTGGAGTGGTCGCCAGCCAACCGCAGATCAAATGAAAGAAAGACTGAAAATGATATCTTTGAATTTTCGGGAGAAAGATGAAATTCTCTGGCCAAATTGAAATGTACCGAGAGGCGGAGTGTCAAGAAAGACCTCACAGAAGTCTTCAGTCGTCACGCCGCGCTGTCGCTGCGACGACCGACGACGCGGAAATGTGGCTGCGCGCGCATTGGGGTCGTCACGACCAATCGCGGCGGCGCGTGACGTAACATAGCGCGATCGAGTGGGAGGCTGCCGAGACGGAGGCGGGCGGCCGCATCCTAGTCCCTTGAGCTCCGACCATGAAGCCCCGGTCACCTTCGGAGGAGCATCACGGGAAAAGACCCCGCGTCCCCGCCGCGGCGGGATCCACGTCGCCGCAGGACGCAATGGAAGACACGCCGCCTCCGCCCCCGCCTCCGACTTCGAATCTGAATCCGCGGGAACTCACCCAAAATCCCCTCAAGAAGATTTGGATGCCGTGTAAAAATGGCCTGCCCGAGAGGCACATTTCTCAAAGGAAGGGTACGTACGGCGTCGGCGTGGCCTCGGACAAGCTGTTATTGTTGTTGGGGGGGGGGGGGCATTCGTTTTTGGGTTACGTCTCTCCTTTTAACGCCGGGCGCTAAACCAGTCAAGCCGGCTACCTGTCATGTGCTGCTAGCTTAAACCGTTAGCTGCTAATGCGGTCCTCTGCACCTGACGTCACACATTGGAGGGGCCAAGCAGAAAGGAGCCGAGACGACTCGGAACGATTACCGCGAAGCGCGGTAGTAGCCGGCGTGTAGTCACTCGTGTGTGCGATGCGGACCGCGGTTGCCTCGCTCGACTCGGTGCCAAGGAAGCCGCCCGACATTGCTCTGATTGGTGCGAATACGCCGACGGGGTCCTCGCTTGATGCCGGCGTCTCGGGAGCGACGCGACGGAACGCCACTTGAACTATTTAGTCGGATGCCGCAGTGTGACGAGCTACCAACAAGGCAGCCGTGACACATAATGTGCTCGAGTGTTGTTCTCGAGAGTGGGGCCAAGATCGGAATAACTCGAAGAATAAAGGCAAAGTCAAATCTCCGTTTCGAAGCTTCTCATATGCACGTTGAAATAAATTGGTGCGATGGCGGTGAGCCAGAAGAGCGTAGTCGGTGAAAGACCGCCAAAGTTTCAAATCTCCCAAAGTGCAATGATGCGTTGATTGCCAAGCCAAGGTCGTGCACGCATCAGCCCGTGTTCATGTCATCGCAACTGCCTAATCTGAGCCGAGAGAGCTCGCTCGAGTGTTTGGCATCCGTCTCGATCTCTCGTGCCGGAGCGAAAGCAGTGAAACTGCGAGCGATAGCGAGTTGAGCACAGAGATGCCGTTTGGCCACCGTGCCCTCTCACCCAGTCATCTGTGCAAACGCTGTCCTGGTGAGGCAACTGACTGTTACTGCAGCACGCGCGGGTCGGATTGTGAGAAGCGCACAAGGCCCCGTCGCTAGCGTCCTCTTTGCAGCGATCGAAATGATCCACCATCAATGAACGACCAGTCTTGATGAGCGATAGAGCGTGGCCAGATAATCCACCCTGCCCCCCTTCTTCCGTTGCAGTATGTATGACCAACTGCCCTACCCTGATCGTGACGGTGGGCCTTCCTGCCAGGGGGAAGACCTACATCTCCAAGAAGCTGACTCGCTATCTCAACTGGATCGGGGTTCCCACCAGAGGTGCAATTGCTGCTCAAGGAAGGCGAGACTTCCTTCTGGGTGAAATCAGGACTTGTGCTCAAGTTGATGATGATCCTTCTGTCTTCTCCAGAGTTCAATGTAGGACAGTACAGGAGAGAGTGTGTGAAGATCTACAAGTCCTTTGAGTTCTTCCGTCCAGACAATGAGGAAGGATTAGAGATCAGAAGGTGAGAGTCTGGTCGGTGGTGGTGGCGGCGTTTGCCAACATTTTGACGTCTGTCATCGATCGGGCTTCCTTCCGTGTGACCTTTGCAGACAATGCGCTTCGGCCGCTCTAAACGATGTACGGCAGTACCTCGCGGAAGGAGGCGGCCAAGTTGCGGTTGGTTCCCGTGGCGCTTAGGTGTCGGATGCCGCCTCAGGTGGCGCTGTGCGGCGCCTTCATCGTTGTTTCTCTCTTTGTGGGGGGGCCGCAGGTTTTTGATGCGACAAATACCACCAGAGAGAGGAGGGAAACCATCATCGAGTTTGCGGAGCAGAATGGCCTCAAGGTAAGGAGTCAAGCTGTCCTCATCGCATCAGAGCCCACAATATTTGCAGATTGGTTTCAGTGGAGAGTGTCGCTCCCTCGAACTCGTTGGTCCACAGTTGTACAGCTTGAAAGTTGCGTACGCTACTTTTGGCAAAGGAGTCAAACTATACTTGCAAACGTTATGACCCAGAGATCCACGAGTTCTTCATTAAAATCCGTTTTTTTTCTTGAGGAATGGAGTTGTCATTTTCTTTTTCCATTGCATGTTTTGAGAGCAGGGACCTTGTTGTTAAAAATCAAGTTCTGATCGGTTAACAAACAAATGCTTTGTATTCAAAACACTCCTTGTTCATTTATTGATTTAGACCACCCCCCCTTTCCCCGGGCATGGCAAATATTGCTAAACATTGGCAAAATTGCTTGAGAATGCTTTTGCTGATGCTCCGTACAAATGATACAGTAAATGAACGAGTTATTTGAATGGACGCGCCGCGCCATCTTGTGATCGTGTAGTCACCGATGGTGTTTAGGTCCCCAAAATGCTCATCCTGTACAGACCGCTCACTGACAAGTCTGCGGCATGCGTTGGCGAATGCTTGAGCGAAGGACTTACTTGTGGCCGTGCTTCCTCAGGTGTTCTTTGTGGAATCTGTGTGCGAGGACCCCGATGTAATCCAGGAGAATATTGTGGTGAGCACGTGCATTTGCAATTCAGATGACATGAGGCCCGAATGAGCGAGCCAGCGAGCGTCTCTTGTGCTCATCGTTTCTTGTGTGTGCTTCTGCTTAGCAAGTGAAACTGGGCAGCCCCGACTACACAAATTGCAACACCGAGGAGGCGGTGGAAGACTTCATGAAGAGGATCAAATGTTATGAAAACTCGTACCAAACCCTGGATGAGGTCTTGGACAGGTGAGAGTGAATGAATGAGACCCTTTTGAATGGTGCACACCAAAACCAGCGGGCATGCCGACCGCTTGTTCCCTCTCGCCAAGGAGTTGCCACCCTTGTTTGCTTGACGTCAATTGCCTGACTGCTTAGTGAAGAAATCACATTCTGAGTGGAGCGGAGATCACACGACAGGTCGAATTTAAGCTTTCGCGAGGGGTCCATCAAAAGCCGGACCTGATAAGCCGTTGATTTCTGTCGGCCCAAAACGCAAGATCAAAGGGGATTGAGACCATGAATCATTTCGCCCTCATCAGCAAAACACCAGGCAGCGTTTGGATGACTTCCCTCTTGCTCCTCTCCGCAGTGTTAGACAAGATGGTGTGCTGCCACCCCGTGGCCGAGAGTGGAACCCCCCCCCCCCAAAAAAAAAAATCAAGAGGCCAAATTGAGTGATGACTGGCCAAAAAATCTGGGCTTCAGCGCACCGTTGCAGTCATAGAAAGTCAAGCATGAAGGGCCGCACGTGATGATGTTTCTTGCCGCTCTCCTTTTAGGGAGCTCTCCTACATCAAAATTATGGATGTGGGTCAGCGCTATCTGGTCAACCGGGTCTTGGACCACATCCAGAGTCGGATCGTCTACTATCTCATGAACATCCACATCACGCCTCGCTCCATCTACCTGTGCCGCCACGGCGAGAGCGAGCTCAATGTCAAGGGTCGCATCGGGGGGGACTCGGGTCTCACGGCCAGAGGCAAAGAGGTGCGCAAGACGTGGCCGCCGAAGTGTGGCGGGCAGAAGCCAAAAGGCGTCACGGCCCATTGTCCCGCGCGCGCCGCGCGTCGCTCTCCTGTTTGCAGTTTGCCAAGAAGCTGGCCCACTTCATCCGGGCTCAGGGCATCAGCCGGCTGAAGGTGTGGACCAGTCAAATGAAGAGAACCATCCAGACGGCCGAAGCTCTCAGCGTGCCCTACGAGCAGTGGAAGGTCCTCAACGAGATTGACGCCGTGAGTGCCGAGTTCCAGCGCAAGTGCTCGCGCGCCATCTTTTCTCATTGATCTGTGTGTGTGTGTGTGTGTGTGTGTGTGTGGGGGGGGGGGGGGGTCACTTCAGGGTGTATGTGAAGAGATGATGTATGAAGAGATTCAAGATCACTACCCTCTGGAGTTTGCACTGCGGGACCAGGACAAGTACCGTTACCGCTACCCGAAAGGAGAGGTCAGTCGCGCCATGCGAGATTGTTGACAAACTCTACATTCGTGGCTGGAGACGCGTGTTTCTTGGCAAAACGTGATGGGGGTGCACAGGAGGGCTCAACGATCCTTTTTTTTTTTTTTTTAAATTGTGGTTTAATACGGCAACATTTTTATTTATTTATTTTTTTGCCACGGTCCTCTCCTCAATTCCCCCCAAAATATTGAGATTCTGCAGATGCAATTGGTCGCCATCTTTTATTCCCAGTCATTGAGAACCGCGTGAGGTGTGTCCTCACACACTTTTTACATTGACTGTTAGAGTTTCATTTTGGTCACTTTCATCCCAGAGCGCCTTGTTTCAAAAGGTGCACTCCGAAGAAAAAGTCAGACGGGTGTTGTTGATTATTTTGGCCCCGCTTCAAGTGGACAAACGCTTGGCGTCGTCACGAGGAAGGTTTTGGCCCTCCTGTAGCTAACCGGTGAATGGTGCCAAATCTATTTGGAATCCGAAGTTCGTGTCTGAGATGGTAGGCGCCAACGATTGACACTCGACTCCAATCCCAAGTTTGCCTGTGTGTTGTGGACTCTTCAGTCCTATGAGGACCTGGTGCAGCGGCTGGAGCCGGTCATCATGGAGCTGGAGAGGCAGGAGAACGTGCTGGTCATCTGTCACCAGGCCGTCATGCGCTGCCTGCTGGCCTACTTCCTGGACAAGACCGCAGGTGAGTCTGGGAGACGCAACCACTTGAACAAGCGCGTCGTTGCCTCTAATTGAGTCCCCTCCGCTTCACTCGCCCCACCGGAAATTATGCTTTGTCTTCTTTTGCCTCTGTTAAAAAAGGAAAAAGAAAGCGGACAGATTAGCTCACAGCATAACGGATGAAAATGCGAGGCCAAAACACAACTGCGCCTTACATCACGTTGTGCCTTTTACCGCCGTATCTGATGGCCAATTATTGAAGTTTACCCTGGTGCCAAAATTACTCACGTCTCAACCCCCCGTGTTAGCAACACGTCTAACTTCCAAAACGTTGTTTCCCGTCGCGGATGTTGTGGCAGCACCACGTCCCGTGATGGTGTTTGTGTCTGTTTGCACCCAGAGGAGCTGCCCTACCTCAAGTGTCCGCTGCACACCGTGCTGAAGCTCACGCCAGTGGCCTACGGTAGGACGCTTTGGCCTCAAGTGTTGACGACCGGCCCCCTTTTGACCAGGCCCGCCTTCTTTCCTCAGGCTGTAAGGTGGAGTCCATCGGCCTCAACGTAGACGCCGTCAACACACACAGAGAGAAACCAGAGGTGCGTACAACCACACGCTGACTTACATTCAGTGCAATGAGACCGGACAGAACCGGATCGCTTCAGCGGCCGAACATCACGCCTCAAGGTGATTACTTTGCACGACTTGGCGTGGTCATCGGATAAACTCAACTCCCTCTAATGGCTTTTGCACATTTGTCACGACACAAAGTGCAATGGCACAAAATTGTCCGGCTGCCTCCCTTGCCAAACGACATGACTCCTTTGTCCCGTCGCTCATTTTTGTCGCTGACGAGTGTGCAGCGGGGACGTCACTTTGAACAAAGGGAGTTGCAACCCAACAGCCAAAATCTTGTTTGTCCAATAAGGTGGAGTCGCGCGGCTCGCTAACCTGACACTTGTGACCGTTAAAAGGCAAACAGCGTGCTGACGTTAGCCCGCCTTGTTTTTGTGTGTGTGTTTGCTTCTCTCCGCATGGAACAGAACGTGGAGGTGTCGCGGATGTCAGAGGAGGCTCTGCTAACGGTGCCAGCCCACCAATGAGGCGGCGCACCTCCCCTGGCCTCCACAGGCCTCGTTGCGCAACCCGCCCGCCTCTTTGCTCTCCACCCCGCTCCCATCCTCCGCCGTCCGCGCTGCCTGCACTGCACTCGCGTGTCCGCTCGCAGGAGACGCCATCGATGATGGTGATCGCTGACTGGAATCCAGTTCACTCTTGATTATTTCCGAAAATATGACACGGAGCTCGCGTTGTCGTGCGCACGCTCCCTTTTGGGGAGAACAAATGAAGTGACTGCTGTGCGCATGTGAACTAGCAATACGGTCCCATGAAGTTTTTCTTCTTTTCTTTCCTCTCACCACTTTGAACTGATGTAACGCAGTTACCTTGTTTTTTTTGTGTTTGTTTTTTTTTTTAACACAAAGGTACTTGTACTTTTGCAGCATTGCACATTGTCTGTTTCTTCCACAAGTGTGTAGAATGTCTCAAGTGAAATCATGGAAGTCTCGCTACGCTTTTTGACGGTGTGTACGTGTTGTTTTTCCTCAAGTCACTGACCCGATGAAAAATATGTGTTGTTTCTAAATAAACTCCCTTCACTCAGCGATTCTCCACGGCCACTCTCGTCAACGTCCGTTGTCGAATCGACATTTCTTAGTGATACCCTGTGGTTTTTCCACCCGCTTTTGCTTGACGGCGGCGCAAAGGGAGTTGCCTGTCATCAATGTGCAAATGTCCAGGTGCTGCCACTCTTTAAGCCGAACTGTTTGTCCTATTGGCGGAAATAAACCGGTTGAGTCCCGTTGAAGTGGGCAAAATCAGTTTGGACTCCAACCCGAGCCACTGAAGTCAGCAAAAGAACCCGCAGCCCCGTTCAACAGCCCATCAGTTGAAAAGCCCCTCAGCTGCCGCAGCAATATGCGCTCGTGTGCCTTTTAGGTCGATAAGAGCTCTGACCCCGATGCGTTGCTCTTTCCAGAACGTTAATATGCATCGAGCAACAGAGGACGCCCTGCGGACGGTGTCCGCTCACCTGTGACACCGGCGAGCTTTGCCCTTTGCCTCATGGTGCCCCGTCGCTGGCTGTGTCGTGCACTTCCAGTTCACGTGGGGGCCTGTCGGGCCCAAGTGCCTCCTCCGATGCCATACCCCCTCCCCTGTTGCTCTTCGATGCCGTTTGAAGGAGTTCAGCCGATTAGAAGTTTTGTACCGTGTGGTCACATGTGCCCTGGTGCGGCATGGCCCTTGGTACGCCGGTGGTTCCGGCGCACCGTCCGTTTTACTCCTCTGTGCTTTTATGCTGCTGTTCTGAAATGATCACAATGGGTTTGCCCTCCAAAGGTCGATTTGCTTCCGAGTGGATTGAATCGCTTCAACTGTGCCAAGGTTGTCTTGGTGGCCATGTCCTCTGTGTTTGCGCAAGTTGAAGGTTCCTAGGCAACTGTATCGCGAAGATATTGAATCAGATGAAAACTTTTCTCTTTGTCAAGAGCTCAGTAGTCCCTTATGAATGAAATGACTGGAATGACTCGCTTCGGGTGTTTCCACTCGTCTTTTACGTCTCACCTCAAGCAGATGCACTGGCAGTCGATGAGTGAATTCAGATTTTTCATTTTGAGGGAACATGGCGAAGAGGGCGTGTGGCAGCGCTAGTATGAAAAGGAAAAAAAGTTCACGTCAGGTCGTGACTGCCGCTCAATTGAAATTCAATAAAGATGCTATTTTTACACAATGACCCATGTTACCGGGACCTGGAATACTTTTTGATTGTCATTTGTTGCGGTCCTGTCTTGTCAAGTGACAGCCAATCCCCAGGAATTCTCTTAGGTGGGGGGGACTGTCCATCAAAGAAATTCCTATCCCTGTCCTCGGCTTTGGCCGTGTCACAAAGACTCTGCAGTCTGAGGTTAACGGCGTTAAAACGCCGAACTGTGCCCATCTTGTGTTCAAACTAGGTCCATAATCGTAGTCTGCACATCGGGCTCACCGTGTCATGCCTTTCAGACCCGGGTCAGAAACGCTCAAAAGCAAACGTCAGAACGGTGAGGCGGCCAATCACGGGTTCTCCGTGTCCACCCTGTTTAATCTACATTAGCTTCCTTGATGTCAGAAGAGTTGCTTGTTTGCCCCGTCTTATGTTTAACGGGCCGATCCTCACGTCGATCAGGAATGGTATCAACCAGGACAAAGAGGAGGCAGTGCATGTTTTCCCGTTCACTAATGTACAGTGTGATTCAAAGGGCCCAACGGGCAGAGTTAAGGCAGACTCGCGTCTCTGACGCACAAATAAAAATGCACGCCAACTTGTCCAACCTGAAATGCAGCAATCCTACTTGCCGGATCACGGTGAACGTAACCAGGGGCCACTGGGCTGTCAGCGGTTACGCAAATATCAATAAGGAACGATTTCCCGCTTTGTCCCTATGATGCACAAAGGTGAAATTTCACTTCCTACATAATGCTCACTATCGCCTTCATCACAATGGTGGATTTGTTGATAGTAATTTTCACTCGCTCGTTTGCACGCTGTCACGCATGCGCATGTGTACGGACGTTGCCTTCACGCGCTCCTAACAGTGTGCGTCAAATCAAAGGACGATTGAAAGAAAACGAATGATAAATTGAAATGAGATCATTTCATTGGCCTTTATCTCAATGTCACGTTAGTCTGGGGAATTTAATTGAATAGCACCCCGAATTCCCCCTTCACAAACCGCAATTATAATGTCGGGCTGACTCGGGCGGATTTGAAGTGAACAATTTCTCCACGGTGAGCGGCCAACGTTTGCTTACTTCTCACAATTAAGATGAACGCAAAACAGTAATGTGATCCGCAGAAGAGTTCCCACACAAACGCGTGGTTTGTCGCACACGTGACTAATCACAACGCGAAATCCCAAGGCGCACCCGCCTTGAATAAACTCTTTCCCACAGCACGTGAACGTAGCAGGAGCACAGCACATTCCCGGCGCGCCGCTTGCGACGAGTTTCAAGTTCCGCGTCCCGAGTCCCGAGTCGCAAGCCGGAGAACCGGCGTCGTCCCTGGTAAGAGCAGCCCTGAGCCGGGGACCGAGGAATCGGCGACTGGCCAAGGCGAACGGCGGATCATAGCTCCTCAGCCAAGTGAACCGAAACCGGTTTGCAGCGAGTTTAGTTTAGGGGGCGTTCGTGTAGTACTTGCTCAGTGGGGACCGCGGTAGATGGAACGTCGGTCGGACTCCGTTCCAGGGCGACTTCACCTCGAGTAAACATGTTGAAGAAAGATCGGAGGAGGAAACCCACGGCGTGAAAAGTGACTTCCAGGTGGACGGGAATGGCTTGATTCCTGCGCGCGACACCGCCGCTGTCAGGGGCGCTCATGTTTCTTTCGGTGGGAGCAAGAGAAAGTTTGCTGCGCTTCACTCGGAAATAAAAGCGCCGTTTTGTGACCGCGTGCCGCGGCGTCGTCCGAACAGGCTCGCCAGCATGTCCAACGCCGCGTTGAGGAAGAACCACTGGACCTCGCGGCTCAACGAGTGCGCCGTGGCCAAAGATGCCCGAGGGGCCTTGAACGTGCCCCTGCGCGGCGGGGCCGAGAACGGAGAGTTCGCGTTCGTCGGGCAACTCGAGCAGAACCAAGTGCTTTACAACAGCGGACAGTTAAATGACGGAGAGCTTCTTCTGGAGGTGGAGAACACCCCCGTCTCGGGATTACCCCTGTACGACGTGCGGGCCCTCATCGAGAGCTGTAAAGGTCCCGTCCGGCTAAAAGTCGTCAGGCCAGGTAAGAACCGAAGCGGCGTCGACACGCGTGAAAGCGCGACAACCGCGACCAATCGCCAGCACATTCACGCCCCCCCCCACATATGCCCCAATCCGCCTCTGCGACTATCAACACAATAGTTGAGATTTTCACCTTAATTGAGCGCCGCGAAGCTTGAGAGCGCACCCACGTAGAGCAAGACGCGAATGTCCATCATCAAGTCAAAAGTATGAATTTGAAACATTGTCATGCCAACCTGACCAGGGTTCCTGAACATGAGAATCTGTAAAAAAGGCTGCGACCGCTTGCAATGGCCACTACAAGCTGAGAGCAACACACCAGGACATTTTGTAAATCGGGGTCAAGGGTTCCGGTGAAATGGGATCACCGATTGACTCCCTCCTTCACGTTTGAGTCAAACGTTTCCCAACCTCGTGTACTCATTGAAGCCTTTGGTTTTGTCAGTGCCCCGTTTGGCTTTTATTATGGAGTTGGGCCGAGCGGCGCGTTGGCGTCGGAGCGTTACCCTAAAGCAGAGCAGGAGAATGATTGTGGCGGCACCGTTGCCACCCACCTCAACACGACGCCGTTCCGAAATGGGTTTCAGTTGCCAGTAGAAGACACAAGACACAAATTCACAACACAGTCATCGTCTGTGTCATTGATATATACAGTATTACAAGGCCAAGTGACATTGCTCTTTCAATGGCGTTCAGGTGCACGCTCAAAGAAAATGTTGGGCCTGTCTCGTGGATTCTCTTGGTTGTGACAAGATTTCTGATGTCTGACTTTCTTTCCAAATGAGAGCAGCAGGCTAGCGTGGCCGTTGTGTCTCATTCATGGTCGTCTTGACCCGGCAGGGCCCACCGGCTTTGATGGCGAGCCAATGTGACAGCTTCCTAGCGAGTGATGGCAAACTGCTTAGGGGACGCGCGGATCCCGCCGGCAACGATGCTCACGTCATGTTGCGACGGCCAAAAGAGCCACGGTATTCAAATCGGTCAAGAGTGTGAAAAACACACGATGTCCAAAGTGATTGCAAAATGGACGTTAGGCATTGATCGACGTTACTTGTGGGTTTGACCGGTTTTACTTGTCGACGCTGCATATAGACCGAGCTGGAGAGGTCTCAATATCTCGAGCTCTATATTTCTGTGTATATGTCCATTGCTTGGCCAAATCCAAATGAAGGGATACTGACCATCTGGAGGCTTGCGTCGGATATTTGCGGACCCTGGACAATGGAATCAAACGCTCGCTGGAAGCGAGGTTTTTCTCGTGGGTGTGCGCCGCCATCGCATCACATGCGATGTACGATGTGATATCTGTTGAATCGGGTGTTTGTGGGCTCTCGTGTGGGCCAAGCCGTTGAAAATGCTCCAAAGTCAAACGGATGAGGAGTATGAGTTCACTTCTGCTAATTCGAGCCTCCGGATGATTGCGTTCATGCTAGCCGCGTGTGGATTTGCGGCTGACAGAGTTTGCGGATGGAAGCGCTCTCGTCCTTTTTTCACATTAGGAAGCTGAACAGCCCTCCTTTCCCAAAACGACACTCTGCATCCTCTGAGCGCAGTTGAAGGACTCCTCTTTGCTTCCGCGCAGCTTAGCTTCCGCAAAGATCTCTGGCTTGAATTTCCATGTGTGTGATCTCCTTTTTTTTTTCTTTAATGCGAGCACGTGGACAGGAGGGAGAAAGGTAAGATGTGTCGGCTATAAGCGCCTTACCTCCCTCGTGATCAAATTGTCTCAAGTGTAGGTCGGCGCTCGGTGCCTCGGTCCCGCGGCTGACTTCCCCGCGCTTTTGGTTGACGGCGAGCGGCGGCATACGTCGTTCTGCCAAGGGGAGGGCGCCCTTCTTCCGAGTCCGTCAGGAGCGCGGGCCAACGCCAGGCATCGAAAAGCGTCGTCCCGGCGCCGTGCGGGGCTCCACACCGTCAAAGAATGCGCTGTTTACACAGCTGGTGGCCGTCCGATCTCGGGATTTTACCGCTGAAGGTGTCGGCCGGGCGTCGTGGCCTTTGTTGAGCTCCGCTCTCATTTTGCCTGCCGGCAGGTCTAAGTTTGAGACGGCGGCTAACGTGGAAGATTGTTCTCAAAGAAATGTTGGCTGGCTTTGTTGAAGGCAAAAAAAAAAATAATAATTCTTGTTTGAACGTTTGCCGCGATCTGCTTTTAGCATGTCTGAAACCTTGGGTGTCGTTTCTGTACTTCCCCAGAAGACGCGATTTGGCGATAAGAGTCGTTTTCACGGATCTGTCGACTGGGATTCCTGCAAATGAGAGCGCGCTGGGAATGCGGCGCCGGAGACTCATCTCGTATCTCCCCTGCTTGAGCTGAATCTCTCGCCATGTCTTAGCAATGCGCACTGCCGGTGCGGGAAGAACCGACAAATATTTCTTTTCTTCCGTCGATTGCGCGGCCTCGTCCTCAAGCTCCGCTCGGCATAAAGGAGACGAGGAATCACATGATGGTGTTGGGCTTTCCGGCAGTTAGTTTGCCTCCCTCTTTTGGAGAGTCTGGCTGGAAGCGGATCGTCGTGCGCTTTGCGTGCGGAGTCATCGTGCGGTAGACTTACCTTCCGTCATCGCGGCTCCGGGGACGTACCGGCGCGTATGACAGGCCTGTCCGCTGGCTTCTCCTCAGAAGGGGTCAAAAGTACAACAAAAAAAAAAAATCCGGTGTTGCTGCTTCAGTGCCCCCTCCCCCCCACATACACATGAACAGTGTTATCAGACACAACAGCTGGAAACACAAGTGTCGAGGTGTTCAACATTGTTCATGTGGGGCTCCCATCCCCCCACCCCCTCCCACCCCCTGCCACGAATTCCTGCCTCGCTTCCTCAAAGCATTGTGTTGCCATTCGACTGCTGGCATTTCCTGCATGGTTGGGCGGAGGTTCGCACACACTGAGGACCTTTTGACTTATCCGGCGGCACCGCGGAGTAAGATCACGTGACGGCCGACCAAATCACGACTCTTTGTGTTTCGGCGACAACAAAAACAAAATGGCGACTGGCACCATCGCGTCGCAACTCGATCAACTCGACGGCAAAGGGGATTTGTGGATGAGACCCGGCTTAAGCGACTGCCGTCGCGCGTTTAGCCTGAATCCGTTTTCTGTTCGGGGTGACGGGGAGCAAAGGAGGACGACGCGCCGGACCGGTCGGCGGTCGGTCACCGGCCACGGGGCCCGCGTCGAGACGGCCGCTCTCGCCGCTGACCGGTGAGCCCCGCGCCGCCTTCTCCGAAGTGAGGCGAGGGGAGCCGCCACGCCGCCGCCGAGCCACTTCGGTGTCCCTTCGCGAGAAGCCGTCGTCGTGGTTGAGAGAGACCTGGAGAATTCGGGCCTTGCTTACGCAACGTTTGGAGGGAAACTCTTGATTTGGCTCTTGCTTTCCTCTCGGCAAAGAGCAAAGGTGAACCACCCCTACTTGTCACCTCGAGGTTGGGCCCTCGCTCGACATTCTTGAATCGGCCTTTTTTTGGGGCCTTCCGGTGAATGAGCCGCAACGGCGCTGCGTTCGCTCTGGCCGGCGCCGATGCCGAGCCGGCTCATTCTGCGCGTCTGAAAGTGATGGATGGACCCGTCAGTTTGCTTCAAATGTTTTCTATCCGCCCGTGTCGCAAAGCCCGTCTGACAGGTTGGAGCGAAACCGCCGCATTCTTGTGCTGCACCTGTCAGCGGCTGCGCTGGGCTGAGGGAGGGGCGGGGGAGTGGAGGAGCGGAATCGACTATGTTTGGGGAAAATGGCGCCGCGCGCACGCCCGCCCGCCCGCAGGAGTTTTTGCCATTCGACGGCACGATTTGTACGATCGCGTCCATCCCCGAGCTGGCCACGATCAACCTTAGAAAGATGCTTGAATTGGTGCGGGAAGTGCCCCCCCGTCCCCCAACCCCGGTGCTGTCTTCGACTTCAGAACTCCGGCATCACCCGGCTTCTCTCCTCTGTGTTCATACGGGGCGTGCAAACGAGGCCTCTCCTTTGGGCTTCCGCGGCAAACCGGGCGCCGGTCATCTCCGAGGGCTCGTCTGATAACTCGGTGGGATCTTCCGGCACGCGTGCGCACTCCCGCCCGGGTGGGTAAACGCTGGCGGCGGGAGGAGAAGCTTTCGGTCTCATGATCTTGCGGGCGGGCAGAGAACTTTGTTCAGTTGTGTGAGGATGAACAGACCGCATTCCCGGCATTCCTTTGCCCGACAGCCCCGTCATCGACTTCTGGTTTCAGTGGAAGGTCACTGGGATGCAAGACAATGTTGCACAAGTACAACACCTTGGATACCAACAAGTGGCGAGAGAGAAGCGCGTCTCCCGGCCGCCCGCCTTCTCGGCAGAGTGCAAGTTTGCCGTCTGTCGTCACCGGATGCGGCAAGTCGGAGCAAGCGCTAACTTTTCATCCGTTTCACCACAGTCCGAGCGGGAAAGTGAGCGCTTTCATCGTGTCTGTCTGGTGACATCGGCTTCGGGCCGGACCTCGGCCATAACCGCCGGCGGCTTCTCACTTCTCTCTTTTGCTTGAACAGTCGGTCTCGATCCGTAGACCCGCACCAATTGAGCGGACTGTGATTCCGTTGCGGTTTCTGCTTCTCCGTGCAGTCGGACACAAAAGCAACATTGGTTTGCAATAATGCCATTGTCATGCTTTCTTTCTTTCATTTTTTTTTTTGTAAGCAAGGGGGTGGGGCCAAACGACCTGAACTTTTAAAGGCCAGATCCCCCAGCCCCGGTTGTGCTTTCTTTCTTTCTTTCATTTTTTTGTAAGCAAGGGGGGGGGGGGGCAAACGATCTGAACTTTTAAAGGCCAGATCCCCCAGCCCCGGTTTGTGTCGGCTGCACGCGCACCTGCGCAGCATTTCATCGACAGGTGAAGGATGTGGACAAAGCGCCGTCTCCATGGGTGAAAATGCATCGGAGCGCTCGGTGGCTTGAAATCCGCCCCCTCCCTTCCTACGGGCTCGGCTCGGGCAGGCGGAAGATGCTGACGTCACTCAGCCTGCTAGCTCAGCGTCTGGCTGTCATGGGAAGGACGTTTTGGACTCGGCATCGATTGCAATCTTTGCAGCCGTCCGTCCGTCTCTCTCCACCCAAGTACAGTCGGAGTCAACGGGGACCGACAACTGCAGCAAACTGCAAGTGACACGGGATGAAAAGTCCACCCCAAAAAACCCATTCATAATTGGGTGGAGATTACAGAGCGGAGTCCAAAGATTTGACCTGGTCAGCCCGACGACGCCCGCGGGGCAAAAATCTGCGGAGAGGCGAGTCCTGTTTACTTCATTTTCATCTGCAAAAAATCCGCAAGAATCATGAAAGGCCCTCTTTGCCGGTGAAACAATTTCTGGGCTGCTTTTCACCAAGTTTTGTCGTCATGGTCACATGCGTCTCGCGTGGTCTTGTTTGGGACGGGCGCACCTTGTTCGCTTGCTGTTGCGGTGCACGCCGTAAGGAAGACGCTCACTATTTTCTGCTCTCTCTGAGAAACTCCGGAAGAAGCTTCGCTTGGAAGGGTCTCGGTCTTTGTTTGTGTTCCCGCACCAAACGGGGGCCACGGTGACCTTTTTCTTGCAAACGTGTCTCTTTTCTTTTTTTTTTTTTTTCCCCTCCTCCCGCAGCAGGCAAACCCGGATTGCGCAAAGGTCAAAGCGGGGCTGGCCGCGGGGGAGGAGACGGAGCTGGTCAACGAGAGAGTTCTCATGACCGCTGGACGGCGCTTTGAATTTCTTACGGGTAGGCCCTCCCGGTCTGTCGCCACAAGATGGGGAAGCGAGCGCAGCCGCCTCGCGTGTCTTGACACCTGGAGACGCAAAAGGAAATATTTTGAGTGCACCCGAATCACGTTTGGGCTTTGTATTGCGGTTGTTCTCCTTCCTTTTTGTCAATGCCTTGCACGCAAATGAAATACGGTACCGAGACACACCGTATACCGAGGTCCTCAAATTTGCACGCCGGCGATGGGCAAAACAATGCAAATCATTCGGCCACCCTTCCAGCGCCCGCTCGTGTTCCCTCGCCGATTAGCTGAGAATGCAGCAAAGTCATCTGATCTCTGCCGGAATTGCCACACTGCGGAGAGCACAAAGAATCCTTTTTTTGGCGCGCGCGGGGCGAGGGCCGTCTTTTGACATTTCCCCGGGGCGTGAGCTAAAGAAACATTTTCATGGGCGGTGAAGGATCGGCGCTTGAAAACTGTGCTCGCGCTCCGGCGCAGGGAGACTTTCCGCTCCGCTTTGCTGGCGCGGTTCCACCGGAACGGCTTTCGCTGGCCGCCATTTTCATGAAGGCCACTCCCTGCTTGTCCTCATTACTCGTGACATTGCGAGTGATCGCACATTCGAACGGGTGGACCCGAAAGCTGCCAGCCAACGATGGCGGGAGAGCGATCGGAGGCCGCCGCTTTGTTTTTCTTCGGGAAGCCAATCGGAACGACGGCTGCTGGTTTCCAGCCAATCCCGCGGCTTCCCGCCTTCCTATTAGCTTCTCGTGGCCTCGGATCGGAGCCTGAGTGAAATCCTCCCAACGGAACTGATACGGATTTCGTTGACGTTACTCCTCCTCTTACCTGTTTTCGGGAGCCAAAATGCCGCAAAAAGTAACGAGCGTCGCCATCTCCGCGATGACCTCCCCTGTCGTCGGGTCAATCGTGTTGAATGACTTCACTCCATCTGTTCATTGATCAATTTGATGACGACCAGTGCTTGATTCTGGATAGATTTCGGGACTCCCGTCGCTACCTTCCGAGCCCTAAGCCTACGATCGCAAGCTGATTGCCGCGCGCGTGTCCGGCCTGTAGTCGGCCGTGGAGGGACGCGGCCGTGGATGAGCGTTGCCTGATGCTGACCCAGAAAAGGAGCGTGCGGATGTAATGAGCAGTGACTGCTCGCACATTAGCCCGCAGCACTGGAACGTGCAACTTTGTGACTGGGAAATTCATGTTTGTTTGTTCCCCCCCCCTCATTTTTCGGACTCTTTCAAATGAAAGACAGGAGCGTTAATTGCTGCCATTTTGCCAAATGACACGCAGGCGATGGCACAAGTGAGGGGCGCGTCTTTTGAAACCTCTTCAACTCGTTTTCCTCCTTTTTATTTGGCGCTCTTTCAAGTCGGCACGTCTTTGTGTTGCCGGCCTCCGTCTAAAATTAGATCGGCGAACAGATGTGGCGACTCTAGTCCCTTTTGTATGCACGTGTTGCCAAATGTGCTGGTGCATGCGCATGAACGGGCCCCTGCACGTGCGCGTTCGCGTCTTTCACACAACAGCTCGAGCGAGTCTTGAGTCAGCATTGAAAAGCGGCCCCGCTTGTGCCCTTTGCTGGCCGGCTCTGCCACTCGGAGGCGCTGCTGTGAGGATTTCTTTCGGGTCGAGAGGGGGACCCGTCTCTCCGACGGCGTTTCCCCCCCAGCGTTTTTCCTCTCACGGTAGCGTACGAGAATGTGTCACATATCGCCCACTCGGCATCCGTTGCGACCCGGTCGCCCTCCCGTCTGCGGCCTCTTCTCTAGGTTTTCCCCCGGATGGGCTTTTGGGAGTTTTTCCTTGGCCTCCTTTGGCTTCAGCTCGGGAGATGTTGTGAATACTTGAACTGGGCACGTGAAGTCCTTTGAGACTCCTTTTTTGTGAATAAGGGCGATAGAAATCAACGCGACTTGACGTGAGCGACACACACTCACACACACGCACACCAACCCGCTGTCCGGTGTGCTGAGCAACACCCCCCTGAAGGTGGCAGAGTTTATAACCCGCTACCACAGCTTGCATCCACCACTTTTATTTATTTTTTTTTTACATCCAGCCGGCTAGGGTCGCCGGTGAGCCGGAGCCAAGCCCACTTGGAGGCGGGCCCTGGACCAATGGCCGGCCACACGTACACGAATGATGCGATGGGTGCCCTGACCTGGTTTCGCCGCACCTGCCGAGCACTTTGCTCTTCACTTTGTCATTGAATTTCTCGTCACATCAATTATTCACGTTCGCTCCCACCTCATTTGATGTGCCGATCATTCTTCCCGCATGACATGTCGGGTTATCAAGTGCTGAGGCGTGGGCCCGCGTGAAATCTGGCAGCCAATGGGATGGCCGGTCACATGAGACCGAGACAAAGTGCCCGTCTGCCATTCCTTTTGTTTTTGTCATGCTTTGTTAGACCAGAGGGTGGCAGCAGACCGCGGCGGACTGTGACCGCTGATCACTCCGCTGCGCTGTTTTTACTCATCTGGCGGCTGTTGCCATGGATACGGGGCACAGCCACTCCTGCGATACCAGGATGCACATTGGAGGGACGGAAATAGCCGTCTCACGCCTGCGTACCTGTCGTGTGTTTGTGGAAGCGCTTCATCAGTGGAGTCGTCACGTCAGCCTTTTGCAAAGAGATCGGGAAGGGCGCGACCATCTCTCTCACTCTCTCTCTCTGTGGCCCATCTCCGGAATTCCCGACAGGCTGGGCCCTTGCGGTTTGTTGTGCGTCATGCCGTTGTCAATCATGATGCGTTGCGTCGGATTGTCATCGGTCATGCCGAACTATTGCCGCTACGTCAAAGATTGGTGTTTATGTGGCTCGGGCCCAAGATTTCCCCCGTTGAGGGTCACGCGGGTTCCTTCCACCTGCTCTCGAACATATGGCTAAGCCCGGATCACAAGAAGGCAGAATGTTAACTGTACACAGCCGCCAGGGGCTGAATCAATCGAGTGGCGATTAGCCCCGATGATCTGATTAACTGCAGCCCGGGACCAAGTCTTCACTTGGCAGATTGATTCGTCTTGACGTCGCTCCACATAAGTCATGATGCTTCAACCGGTCGCCGATTAAGGAGGGATGGATGGGCAGAAATCCAATTGGTGTCAAAGCTAACTTGCTTTCGAGAAATGTGATGAAAGATGTTCATATCAAGATTCTCCGACTCAATTTTGCGTGACCCTCGTGACCCCTTGAAGGCACCAGACGCAAGCGTTTGGCGCGGTGAGGATGGCAACCGTGCCATTTGTCCGGATGAGACGGCGCCAGGAGCAGGGATTCCTCTCAGGAGTCGCCGAGGCCGCGGGGCCCGAGCGTCGACCTTTCCTCTCGGCCTCGCCTCCCAATGGCCACGCTTGGAGCCATTAAGGAAGGAAAGACGGACATCAAATTGGCTTACTTGCTCGTTCAAAAAAAAAAAAAAAAAAAAAAAAAAAAAGTAACATGTCCAATGTGTCTGCATGAGACGAGAAGCCGGTCAGGAAAGCGTCACGTGTTGTGGCACGTCCACCTGCCTGCGCGGATTCATCAACCGCTGCGTCACACACTTGCGATATCCCTCATGTTATTCAACACGCGAGCCCGTACGCGGTTTCCATGGAAACAGAATCCAGGGCCCTCTCTGACTAGCCGCTCGCCCGGGAAAACCAAAGATGGCCTCGGCAGCGATGCCAACATATTTGATTGAAAGGGGATTTTGGTTTGAAGGCACCGACTTTGTACTTCCGTGACGCGTCACGACGAACGCAATCGGATGAATCCCGTTCTATGGTGCGCGTTGTCAATCCCGATGTTTGCCTTTCGCACGTGTTTCGCACGGTCGGTAACGTGGGCGGGCATTGGCCGAAATGCGCCAAAGCGCACGTTTGACCATCGGGTTGGCCGCCGGGCCTTTCCGGGGTCCAGACGGCTCGCGCCGCTGCCGTCTCGCCAGCGGTAAGACCTGTGACTCAAGCTGGCACCGCGCACGGGGAAGATTCTGCGAGCGGCCGCCTCCCCTGAAGTGACGACGGCGAGTGCGCGACGCGTGCCGAGCGCTCCCGCTTCAAGCGTGCGTATCGTTTATTCAGCGGCCAGAATGGCAGCCAAACGCCAAGAGCGCTCGATTGTCTGCGGGATTTGTTTTGATTGCCGTGACCATCCGTTTCCCCGCTTGTGTCCGCAATGGCAGGAAATAAGCTGAACAAGGACCTGAAACACTATCTCAGCCAGCGCTTCCAGAAATCGTCGCCTGACCACCAACTGCAGCAAATCATCCGAGACAACCTCTACCATCACGCTGTGCCTTGTGAGTCCGTCAGCACCGCACGCACGCACAAACTTCACACTGACCGCGCACGCTTGAATTCAACTTTATGGTTGAGAAAATTTGACCATAAAACTAACTTGACTTGAAACGGCTGCTTCTAGCCGTGAGTCCAAATGGTACCTGAGTAAAAAGAAATATGAAAGTCGGATCGCTGCTTGTTTTTTTTTTTTTGAAAGTGATGTATGACTTTGGAGTTTATTTGACATGCGGGCCCAAAAGTCTTGTTTTTGCTCATGATATGAAGCCCCGACTTTTTCCTGAAGCTTTCTCCTGCGCTGGCTTCCCGATGAGTTCATTCAGAGGCCACCGCATGAATTGCTCAATGTTTTCTTCAACATTGTGCCCATCTGACTCGGTGGGAAGATGGCGAAGGAAGAAAAAATGGCCAAGCGGTCTGTTGCACTTGCGCTAAGAGCACAATTCCATTTAACAACCCGGGGGCAATCGTTAACTTGGGTGAAAAAAGAAAGAAATAAAAAAACAACATACAGTATTACAAGAAAAGAACAGTGACAACTTCGAGGAAGTTAAGAAGTTGGCCAAGTCTGAAAGCGAATAGCTCCTCAAAGTTGGAAGAGCCGCCGCTCGCCCGGCCTCCCCCGTTAGCCATTTTCTTGCGGTCGCATTGGCATCTTTGCCGGCCCAGCCGCTCCCTCTCCCGCTCCCTCCCGCTGTCGTCGTTGGCCGCCGACCCCCAAACCCGTGCCACCGTTGCTTCTTGTCCCCCGTTCTCTCCTTGGGGCGCCCGCTTTCTAAAACCGGTTTCTGCTTGCCGGTTGTACCGGGAGCGGAAAAATGGAGGAGGGTCCGCAGTTGAAGAAGTGATCTCCTTCAGAGCGGGACGTTTGCGGACGCCGTTCGTTTCCGAGCTAGGAACGGCGGCGCCGGCAGCACATACGATCGTGCGGCCTGTATATAGGCTAGGAGGACAGCTAGGAGGTGGAGGGGGCGGCTGTGTGGGCTGAAGCCGCAAGGATGGAGATGGGGCGGTGGTGGTGGGGGGTGAGGGTGGGCGAAGGGGGGGCACGGGACATGAAGGAGGAGAGCCAGATTGAGAGCTGCAACGACGCTCACACACTCCCCGATGCGCGGCGGCTCTAGTTCAGGTAAACGCTTGAACTTGAACTCGGCCGCGTGAGCATCGGCGTGCCGGTGGCGCGCCTGCCGAGAGTTTCGCCCGCTGACGCAATCCCGTCGTTCCAATTCCAATTCCAAAATGGAGAAGCAGAAGGTTTTGGCTGTTGCTCGCCGAGTGTATGCAGCAGTTTGTGCAGGGGGGGAAAACAAAACAAAACCTCAAAACACCAAGAAGAGAGGACAGCGCCGAATCTGGGCACGGCTGCGGGCACATGGACGGGGCCGGCCGGGGCCAGCCTTTATTATGAATGGAACCGCAACCGTCGTAACTGCTGATCTGTTGGTTGCCGTTTACGTGACGTCAGCCGCAAACACTTGAAAGACTTGTGATCATGTCAAACCGATTTGACATTGTCGTCAAGTCCAGACCAGGTAGAAAAGTCATCGAAAAGAAAGAAAGAAATAAAAAGGCTGCCGTGATCACCTTCTGCTAACCCGTTGAGATGACGGCAGCGCGCGGTGACTCCCACTTCCTTCTGACGCTCCGTTTCTCGTCTCGAGACGGTGACAGTCGTTAGGTGCAGGAGCGCAGCGTTGGACGAATGGAATTCATTTGTCACATCTATCGACCGTCCTCTGCGGCTTTTCACGGCTGAGTCAATGAGGCTTGCGCCCCCTAAGCGGGAGGCGTGAAGAGAAAGAGGGCCGGGGAGCAAAAGGCGCAAATGATGGGGGTGAACGTCCAGGAAAAGGGGAGGCTGGGACAGAAAGAGGGGAGGAGGGCGGGAGCAAGCGGGTGCCTCTGAGAGGGGAGACGGCGGAGCTCAGTCAGTCAGTCATTCAGTCAGTCGGTCAGTCAGTCGGCCGGCCGGCCGGAGAGAACCGCAGGCAGAAGCCCCGAACTGCTTGCGAAGGATTCGGAGCGCGTTGGAAGCCACCGCCCGGACGGCGCTTAGCTTTGCTCACTTTAGCTTAGCATCACAAAGCCGGACAGAGGACAGACGCCGGCGAGGGCGACGCGTCAGTCCGGGCCGCCAATCTGCGCGGCTTTTTCTCCCCCGGCCAAACGGATTTCCTCTCCTTCTGTCTGCCGTCGACGCTCCGCGGACGATAAGGGAAGAAGAAGAGGCTGACCGACGGAGGTATGTCGTCCGTTTGGGGAAGGGATGCTGCGATTTCATGCTTGGGGGTTGGGATGGAGAGCCGAGGATGGCTGTGCGTCAGGAGTGAGCGGGGGGAGACGACGGCGGCGGCGGCACATTGCCGGCCGTAATGGAGGCTGATGTTTTGTGGTCAAACTGAAGCTTGTCTTGCCTCTGTCAGCTCGTGTCTGTCTCTGCTCGTCTCACAGGTCGAGCAAGTGTCATTTCCCGCATGGAGATTGCACATTAGATCTGTTTCCAGTGGAAACACTCCAGCTCTGTGTGTGTGCGTGCGTGTGTGTGTGTGAAACGTGGTCTGTTGACATGCTTTGTGTGAGTGGAAGCGCTTACGGCATCTGTATGTTTGTCTGTCGGTCCGGAGCGTTTCCTCTCCCTCGCACTGCTTTTTTCTTCTTTCGTACGGTACATCTGCCTTTTTCCTGCATGAGCGCACCCCCCCCCAGCCCCCCTCCCACCCC